GTGACAAACTAGTTATTTTCAAGTACTCAATAGTAAGTCTTTATATTACAGGCAAATAGTTTAATAAATCCTATTTAATTTATTTAAAGTAAGGAGAATAAAATAATCAAACTTTGAGTTTTTTCATTTGAAGAAGACTCTCTTTGGGAAGATTTTTATTAGACGACAGGCTGAACTAGATGATGATGGCAAGATCCTTCTCGTTCTGTGTCTCAGTTTTCACTTCATATTAAGTTTGTACTAATAAGCACCAGATATTAAGAATAAGCTGAAATTTTGCCCACAAGACTTTAACTGTCTTCTCACATCTATATTATGCCAGGTGAGAATGGGCGCTAAATAGTAGGAAGGAAGGTGCTAAGTCAGTTCTGACTTACTGGTGTAATAACACCAGTTACTTCTCACATTCTGGATGTAGAGGCAGTAATGGAATGGGTACATAAAATTATTTTTAACACTTGCAGACTCTGTTGGTTGGCCTTGGCTGTGGAACAGCCTACTTAAAAAACTAATGGGACTTGTATGGAATTTTAGGTACGCGAAACTTAAATTTGGTTGAAGTGTGTTCCTGGGAGTAGCAACACCTTCAGAGAGACTGAGCATGAATCTTCAAAGCTCACACATTGTATTAGTACAGAGGTTACCAGACTTTTTTCTTAGGGTAGAGTCCTTCATTTTCATAAAGTGTATCATGGATTACATAATGGAGAGTGGGAAGATAGGTAAACTGCTTGCTTCCCATTAACAATTGCCTAACATCCCTGTGGTAAGGAGAGCAGTTACTTGCATTAAATATTTAAATGTTAGTTTTCCATATATTATTGGCTCACTGAATGCAGGTTAGCTACTAGAAGTGAAGAGAGTCAGCAGCATGTGGCCCTATGCACAGACTACACTTTGGGAGTGTCTGTATTTGAAACGCTGAATTTTTGAAACATTGAAACTTTAAACCAAACAGCTTCAGAGTGAACACAAGGAAAATGCAAAATCATTTGCTAAAAGCTGGTTAGGGAGAACTGGCAATTTTCAAAGATTTTTTTTTTAAAGAGGTCATCTTTTTCTTCACAGAGGCTTTGATATATCTGTGATGTGTTTGCATTGTAGAGCAGTGAGCTAACCTGACTCTCTCTTCCCTTTCAGCCAGTGAAGAGTCTATACTGAAATGAACAAATTGCATTGGACCTCATTTTCATCTTCAGCAAAATCTGAAGCCTTGAATTAGCTATGTTAAGTTCATTTAAGCACTATATTTACTGTTTCCATCAATAAATACTTGTGAACAGTATTAATTCATTGATTTTTGCATATACTATAGAAAGTACAAGTAAGAGGTATTGATGTAATGTAGGAATAAGCAAATATGTAGCAATAAGCAAATTATGTATCTGGTAACGAAGCAATAACATCCCTTGTGCTAAAGTGACCCCAACATGTCTAAAAATGCAAAGTCACTAATTGAGGCTCTGTCTTGATGGGTGAAAGCCAGTTTAACCATGGTTAAAATCATTGCTACAGCATAAGCCTACAACTCCTGTATTTTTAACCATGTATTCAAATTCAGAACTGCCTTTCCAGTGTCAAAGGTCAGATTGGACTGCCTGTACTCAGGTCTCATTATGTTACTGAGTGATGGGTGTTTCTAAAACTGTCTTGAAAATGAATTTTTTCTAATGAGTAAATCAAAAGGTACAACGTTGTAATGGGCATACCTTACAGTCTAACTCAGGAAACTTTGCATCTGTAACTGTTATGGACTGAACAGTGTCAACGTGAGGTCTTGTATTCAGTTTCTTTTTACTTTTAATTTTTTCGTAATGGTGGACCTAACTTCACACCTGTAAACGCCCAATGGGTTAAATGGTTAGCCTAGTGTATAAAGTGTTTAATATTTTCAAGATCACTACCTTCTTTTCATACAACCATATCAGGATTTGAACTAACTTATGGCTATCAGTGTAATTACGTGTCTCTTAAAGTGAACATCTGATGTTAAACACGTCTCATGTCAAAAGTTCACCCATATAAAGATGGAGGGGGCTGGGGAAACAGGTGAAAATACTTGCCATTTACACCTCAAATCAATTGAAATTTAATGCTAGTTTACTTTCTGAAAAAGATGTACTTCCAGTGCTGCTATGAACTCTGGAGTGGGTCAGTTTAAAGTATCCATTTTGGATAGCCAGCACTCTAATATATCTATAAGAACAGCCACATAAGGACATTTGAACATAACTGGGAAATGTCAGACTAAATATGGTCTTCAGCACTTTAGCATATGCATTAATGAGTCTGCTGATCACCCTCTTATTCTTGCAGATTCCTGCTTTCTTCATTGGAAGGTGTGGCTAATATACTGAGAATAAGGCAACTGAGCAAACGTTAACTCCCTGCCTTTTCTGCAGAGAGGCATTATATTGTTTAGATAACCACTGTAAATGTAGATGAATTCCCTTGCTTTCCATAAACATCCATTGAACATATTTAGGCCACAGTGCTGCCTGAATAATCCTATGCTTGGTGAACACAATTTAATAGCAAACTAAAGCAGAAATAATAGTATGAGCTCCTGTAAACCCAACACTTGTATGTTAGAGCTGTGCTCAGACCCCACCTTGTCTTAAGACCGCTCTGTGCCTTTCCCTTGGTGGGGCAGGATGTGTTTCCTCTCTTACATGAGGCTAGGGCAGTGGTACACCAAACTGTTGGGTGTGCCCCCCTGGGGTGCAGAGAAATATTCAGGGGGGCTGGCAGGGCCTGGGCCAGCCCCCATGGAGCACCACCCAGCCCTGCTCTGCCCCAGCTCTGCTCTGGCCATGGCCCCACCCTCAGCAGCTTTGGCCCCAGCCTCTGCACTCTTACCCCTGTCCACACACCCCCACCCACCCCAGGAGCTACAGCCGCGCCTCTGGCCCTGGTTCCTGACCATGGTTCCTGGGGGTGTGTGATGTGAAAAGTTGGGGGACCACTGAGCTAGGGGAAGAGGGATTTCTGTACCCCATTCTTTGCAGTAGCAGAGGGCAATACCTCTGAGTATGCATTGGGATGGAGCAGAAAGGTAGTGATAGTGGAGGAAGGTCAGAAAAGAGAGGGAGGATTTATGGGGGAAATGAGGGTGATGAGAGAATTTGGAAACATGAATTCCAGGGGGGAAAAGGGTTACCAAAACATAAAAATGGGAAGGTGAAAATAAAGGAGTAAATATACAGAGCATGTAAGTTTAAAAAAAAATTGAGACCAACCAGTCTATTCCTTCACTGGTGTAAATCAGGCATTACTGACATTCAGTGACAATTGGATGTCATTGTCAACCCCATTCTCCTTTCTCTTCAGTTAGAAGTAGCTATAGATGTGAGTGAGCCACAAGTGTAAAAGCACAGGATGGGACGAGTATCAAGGTGCTGTATTTATTTTTTTTACAAAAGCAAACAGAATATGACTTAACTATAGTAAATCTCTCATAAGCCAGTGACTTTGGGGGGGGGGGGAATGACCTTGAATAAGAGGAGAGCAAGATATCTCCTTACATCCTTTCCCCATCGTTTCCTTTACCATGTTCTTGTAAGTGTGATTGCACAGACCAATCTGAAGCCACATGTTAGATTTAGTTTCTCTAATTCAGCTGTCAGCACTTCAGAGGTGTTGGGGAATACAGGGGGGGGTGTTCCAAAGAAACAAGGTAATACATTTCTTTGGACCAACTTCCAGATATCTCACCTACCTTGTGTCTCTAATATCCTGGGATCAACACTGCAAACAACAATGGGGGTTATGCCAAAACCAGAAAGAGGTCTAATGTAGCACATGCCCCAAGCTTAACCATATTCTTTTTTCCATTATTTTGATCAAAATAGGCCTACTTTTTGGCCAGGCAAGTTGCATTATGAACAAACTATATTAAAATAATGTTGCAAAGTCAAACACTCAAGGAATGCCAGATATAAGGTTGCTTTGGCAACTTTAATTTAGCACCCTTGTGCCTATGCATTGATACGCACTCTAATTACATGATCACATGCTATGTTTTTCCCAGGATCCCTGCCTCATTCAATGCACAAAACTGATCATGCTCAGGGAATGAGCAGCTTTTCAATATTTTGTTTTATCCTCATCCTGCAATGTGTGGCCCCATGTAGCACTGACTGCACACTATTCAAACCCCCCTACAGAATTATTCTTGTCCTCATGGGTGTTTCTTTGGCTTCAGTGGAGTTGCAGTTGTTTAGACCAGATCTGAATTTGGCTCAGTTCCTTCAAAAGGTAAAAGTTTACTGATGTGTGAGAAGGACAGATGATTTAACTGTTCTATTGTTAACACTCTCTTGGGCTCTGATTCACCAACACTGGTCTAGATGAAAGCCCACTTCCTGAACTCTGCTCTAGGGGCATCAGTCTGACTTCTGTGGAATAACTACATAGCTGTACCGCCATAACTGAGATCAGAATCTCAGCACAAATATTTGAGTAAAGGGTATCTTTCTCCCTATGAGATGAACGGATCTGACTGTCTTTATGCTTCCCTTTTACATATTGCTGGCTTGTCCATGTGGTCCTGTGAGATACATTGAAGGAGTTAATTCTGCCTCAATTTACCCACCCCAACCTCTAGCTGCACACTAGGTAAATAACAGTTGAATTGGGCACAAAGTTCACCATCTGGCCCTGTAAATACATGCATGGGGGTCTGGGGTAGGGGGAATGGGGAATTCAGACTTCAGGACAACTGCTACAGCCATTACTCATGCAAGTAAATTCATGGAACCAAATTTTGCCCTGTCTTAAATGGTACATCCCGGTGACTTCAGTGGCATTGTATGGAGTGAGAAAGAGGGCAGAATTTGGCTCACTGACCGCAGTAAGGGTGCTCACACAGGTCAGGTAAACAACACTAGGCCCTTTCCATGGCTAGGTGATGAGCCCAGTTTAGGTAATTAAAGGGTTAAATCAAGAATTTATATTCGTACACTGCAACTTTTTTCTCTTACAAGACCTTTCCCAGGGTGCGTAGTTCATACACCAGCAGAAATAGGTTTAAATGATACAACAGGTTCTAGAGGGGGGAGTTCTTCCATTGCAACTTGTCATAGCTGCTGTAAGGGAGGAAACAAGAAATTAGAGATACATTTGCAGCTGCTATAACCGTACTGTAATTTGAAATCCTTTAGTCTTTAACTGAGTCATTTTACTTCTTAACCCTTGGAAGGCTCTCAGTGATGAAGCTGGTATAAATTCCTAGCTATTGTGAAGTGCTACCAATGTGCTCAGAGCCATTTTCTACACAAAACTGTGTGTGCTTCAAAATGCTTCAGGATAATGACTGGCTGGTGGGGACTGGCTCAGCCTTGAATGGTCTTATCAACCACAAAAACGAATTAAGAATGAAGGGCTCAGTCCAGTTCCCAGAGACTTAACTGGGAATTGTGCTGGGCCCAGGGAAAAAGCATTAAACCTAAATAATTTGCATACATAGAATCCTAGCAATGGAGGGCTGGAAAGGACCTCGCAAAGCCATATCAAGTCCAGCCACTCCATGCTGTGGCAAGATCAAGTAAACCTAGATCATCTCTGGCAGGTGTACTTTGTTCAACTTGTTTGTGAAAGCTTCCAATGATGGGGACTCCACAACCTTCATTGGAAGCTGTAATAACTAGTCTTATTATCAGCAAAAGTTTGGCTAGAAAGGTACACTTGGGAGTAACTGCAGTGAGTTCCTTGTTTTTCCCTTGGCCTGTTACGCAGCATGGTAGCCACAGCCTCTGTAGTCTCAAGCATGTGTCCTTTCTCCCCCGTAGACTACACTACAAAGCTGACTCAGTGCAGCCAACAGTTGTAGCTGAGCTGCAAGTGCAGGCAAGGATCAGTAGTGTTCAGCACTATTTGCCACACTTACAGGTGTTAACTAGCCAATTACAACATGAGATCTCCTCCACAGAGGAGTTTATGCAGATGGCCTTTCTGGAGTCGTGTAACCATCTGAGATGTCAAGTGTATGTTTTGAAGCCATTCTCTATTATGACCTGGGCCCTTGACAGAGTGAGTCATGGGCCCAGTTCAGATTGGGAATTTCCCCTGTATCCAACCCTTTGCTTCAGCTATTGGACGAAATGCACAAGTGTGGAAAGAGCTGGGAGTCTGGAGACATTAATTTACACAAGGGACTGGTGGGGTAGGGGAGTTAGCCATAGGAGTAGATTCTGAAGTATTAAAATTGTAAGTATTTCTGACCTTGCTGTGCAGCCATTTTTTCCTCCTCTTTTTTCTTCTCTTCTTCCAACGCTTTCATTTTTGCATCATACTCATCACCAAGAGCCTTCCATTCCTTTCTGTTGTTCAGCAATCTCTCATACATCGGATGAATTTCCTCGTGGAAACGTGAAAATTCCTGAACCAAGCACACCAAATAAACAGTACAACAGTGACTTAGCCAGTGCGGCTCATTCAAAACACCTGTGCCACCAGGTGCCTGCCCCTATTGCTAGTTCAGGCTGGGAAGGGGTTAATTTCGTGACGAAGGGTGCCAGCTACAGGTCTGGCCCTGGACTGGAGTACCAGATAATTAGAGGTTTCAGAGTAGCAGCCGTGTTAGTCTGTATCTGCAAAAAGAAAAGGAGGACTTGTGGCACCTTAGAGATGAACAAATTTATTTGAGCATAAGCCTTTGTGAGCTTCATCGGATGCATTCAGTGAGCTGTAGTTCAAGAAAGCTTAAAGCTAATTAGAGGGAGTGTTTACTCCCTCTGCGTTCAGAACCCATCAGCAGGGACGCAGCTTGAGGCTCCTAATGGAAACTGTTTCAAGAGATCTTGCTAGATCTAGTTACTCCCACATCAAACCTAGCTGAGGAATCACTGGGGGCAGATTAGTACTGACAGGCCTGCTAGGAGGTACAGGCAGTCGGGGCTGAGCGGTAGCCTCCTCCCTCACCACTGCAGTAGTTACCTCTTCCTCTGTCTCATTGCCCCGGGGCTGGAGCTCAGAGCCTGCTGAGGAGCTGCCTCACTTCGAGCTCTGCAGTGCCTGCTGCTGAGGCCTCTCCCCCTCTCCTATGCCTGCCAGGGCGCAAAGTAGGTCCTGAGGCTTCCCCCACCCTTCTGGGAAGGGCTGCCAATACTGTATTTCAGAAATATGGGACAGCCCTCTAATGTCCCTGGGCTTGACTTCGCTGCTCCATCCCTTCCCAGGGGTCTGCTCAGGCTGCTTCCAGCTCTGGTGCTGCAGAGAACCCAGATGGTCACTGTGCCTCCTGGAGTGAAGTGGGAGGCTGCAGTTACTCATCTCCACCTACGATAGAGCTGTGCTCTGCCGAGGTGGGGTGGGTGGCAGATGGGGTGTGGACTGGAGAAATGCAGTAGATGGAGGAGACTTTGCCGCAGCCAGCAGGCGTGTCGCTTCCAATTTCAATGGCGGTGAGGGGGCAACTTCCAGGGGCGGCCCAGTGGTGGCTGAGCTAAAGTTGAGTGGCATGTGTCTGGTCAAGTTGCCAAAGCCTGGCACGTTGCAAAGTAAAGTACCAGAGCATCACTCCAGCCTAGCTTTCAAGTGTCAGTGGCATGCTGGACCGCCGTGGTTGAAACATGGGATAAAAACATCCTGTACTGAGAGTACTGGGCAAGAAATTTTTATTTAAATAAAGGATGTGACATCCCTTCTAATACAGGACTGTACGCACTGGCAGCCTTACCCCTGGACCTCGGAGAGAAGAAGAGCTCTTGGGCTGGCCTCTAAGGAAAGCTCTGTCTTCTGTCCAGACAATCTTTACCCTTAGGATGGAAAGTTCCATTGTGCCAGAGAAGCAGAGTTGTCCACCCTGGTTTTCATCCCAGAGCTTTAGAAGATTTTTTTTTATAAGAACGGCCATACTAGGTCAGACCAATGGTCCATTTAGCCCAGTATCCTCTCTGCCGACAGTGGCCAGTCCCAGAGCTACAGGAGGAGTGTACAGAAAAGGGCGATTTTACACTCCTGACTTCTGGCAGTCAGAGACTAGGGACACCCGGAGCATGGGGTTACAGCCCCAAACATCTTGGCAAATAGACATTAATGGACGTATCCTCCATTAATTTATCCAGTTCTTTTTTTGAACCTAGTTATACTTGTAGCAGTCACATGATAATGAATTCCACAGGTTGACTGTACATTCGGTGAAAAAGTACTTCATCTTTTTTGTATTAAATCTACTGCCTATCAATTTCACTGTGTGATTCCTGGTTTTTGTATTGCGGGAAAGAGTAAATAATGCTTCACTTTTTCCATTCATAATTATACAGACTTCTGTCATAGCCCCCTTCGTTGTCTTTTCTAAGCTGAACAGCCTTATTCTTTTTAGTCTTTCTTCATATGGAATCCTTCCTATACCCTTGAGCATATTTTTGCCCTTCTCTGAAGGATTTCTGTTTCCATTATATCTTTTTAGAGATGGGGTGACCAGAACGGGACACGGTATTCAAGGTGTGGGTGCACCATAGAGTTATATAGTGACATTATAATATTTTCTGTCCCTTTCCTAATAGTTCCTCGCATACTGTTAGCCTTTTTTTACCACAGCTGTGCATTGAGTCGAACTTTTCAAAGAACTAGTTACGATGATGCCAAGGTCTCTTTCTTGAGTGGTAACAGCTAATTTGGTAGGTGTAAGTGAGATTACTTTTTTCCAATGTGCATTGCTTTCACTTACCAGTCTTGATTTTATCTGGCATTTTGTTGCCCAGTCACCCAACATCCCCTTCTAACTCCTTGCAGTCATCTTAGGACTTAACTACCTTGCATAATTTTGCATTGTCAGGAAACTTTGTCACTTCACTGTTTACCCTCTATTCCAGATAACTCATGAATATGCTGAACACTACAGATCCTTGGGGGACCCTGCTATTTACCCCTCTCCTTTTTGAAAACTGACCATTTTTCTTTTTCTTTTTCTATCTTTTTCCTTTGTCCACTACTTATTGACACCCTCAGAGAATTCTGATAGATTGGTGAGATTTCCCTTTTACAAAAGCTGTGTTGATTCTTCACCGAACTTCCCCTACACTTTATATGAGATTTCGTTCACTGGCCTGTAATTGCCAGGATCACATCTGGAGCCCTTTATAAAAATCAGCATTATGTTAGCTGGTCTCCAGTCATCTGCTACGGAGCTTTGATCAGTAGTAGGTTACATACTATAGTTAGTAGGTCTGCAATTTCATATCTGAGTTCCTTCAGAATGCTTGGGTGAATTCCATCTGGTCCTACAGTCTTATTACTGTCTAATTTGTTTTAAAACCTCTTCTGTGGACATATCAATGTGGGACACTACTTCAATTTTGTCCTCCAGGAAGCATGTCTGTGCTGTGTGTATCTCCCTCACATCCTTTTGCAGTGAGGACCAATTTAGCTTCTCTGCAATGGCCTTGTCTTCCGTGAGTGCTCCCTTTTTATCTAGGGTCTCCATTCGCTATTGGGCAAGCTTCTTGCCGCTGATGTACTTGAAAGAATTCTTACTCTTAGTTCTTGCATCTTTAGCAAGTTCTTTCTTGGCCTGCCTTATTACCCTTAATCTGCAAGAATTTGTGCACCTTCCTGTAACCATCACTAGGAATCCACTCAAAAATCTTAAAGGATGCCCTTTTGCCTCTAATGGCCTCTGTTACACTACTGTTTAGCCATGGTAGCATGTAGCCAGACAGACAGCCCCCCCCTTCTCAGACCAGCATTGCTGGAAACACAGGAGGAAGCCGGAACAGGGCCCCACTTAACATATATTCCAGCACAGCCTTTGAAGCTGTGAAAAGCACAGGTGTGCTGCTACAATGTGCCTCTGGGAACATATACAACGATTAAGCTCACAGCAGGCAGAGGCCCTGTGACAGACATGGCTTTTAGCCCCTACTAAATAGCGTGATACACACACACCAATATCCTAGGTGGGAAAATATTTACCCTGATAAAAGAAATGTCCAGTAGTCGAAACTTACTGTTTCTCTCCCTTGCAAGTGTAAACTACTCTTGCAAAAGCTGGCATCACCCAGACAGACCAGCCTCAATTTGGCATAAGAAAGGAGAAAGAGAATAAAGGAGTACAGAGGTATAAGTAGGGGACCTACAGCACCATGATTTTTGAGTGCTTTTCACTATCTATCTGCTGGTCAGATAAGTGACAGCCTCCCAAGGCTTCTGCAGCTAAGAGGGTCCCTAAGCCTTGTCCCTTATTCATCTTTCCGCGGAATTGAGTGACCGATCCTGGCTTGGCACCGCTGGAATCGAGAGATGCAAGGAGGGTGAGAAGCACCCACATCTGATCTCCTATCTTTAGTGTACACATATTTTGAAATAGAGCTCTATACTTTGTTTTCTTTTCTTTGGGATTGTGGCTTCAGTTTTGTAACTTGTTTGTGTGTGTAACATCTCTACATTTAAATAAGTAGGCTCTAGCTTAATAAATGTTGGTAACCATTGTGCATAAGCCTGAGTTGTTTTCTCTGGTTTACTGTAAAGCAGCCAACGTAATTAAAGAACCTCAGCCGTTTTGGCTCTAAAGCCTGGCCATTAGGTGAGAGTACTAAGAGTCTAGCGTTGAGTTGTGCCGCCTCCACGGGGCAAACTCTTGGGGCACCTGTCAGTCAATCCTGGCTGCCCGCTGCGAAGGAGCTCTGAGCTCTAGCAGTTAAAGTCACGGATGGTATAAACGGGCATGGCTGGCACCTCACCAAACATCCTTGGCCGTCGGCTAACATAGCATTCCTCTTATTTTCTTTGATGATTTGGGGTATATGTTTAGTCTGAGCCTCTATTATGGTGTTTTCCAATAGTCCACATGCTGCATTTAACCCTTTGGGCAACTCCTTTTAATTTCTATCTAACAAGCACAGTCACTTTTGCATAGTACCCATATTTATTCTTCAGTGTTGCTGCAGTGGGTTTTTTTTTTTGGTATTATAAGCACTATGACGCTGCTACATTTAATTATATTTGGGTCACCATTACCAAGCGGCTCAGCTTTTGTTACCTCTTTGACCAGATCCTGTGGGCCGCTCAAGAAACACCCTGAGCCCACGCTATGTCATATTTCAATAGGAGTGGAAGTGTTGTACCAGCCCATCTGTTACTCCACTGCCCTATATGCAGTTTGATGTAGAATATTGGCTTTTATTTCCTAGGTCCAGTGCAGTTCATGACCAGAGGTTCAAAGATGGCTCTATACAATTGACCAGGCCTGGGGTTGTCAGGCACTGTGAGGCTGAGCTGCCCAAGGATCACAGAATAAAGGACACCTATAGCACTGGATGCCCTCTGAGCTGGGATCAAGGCTGCCCTGCACTGCTGTGTCGTGTAAAGCTGCTTTGCTAGGCAGAGGATGTGATCCCATATAGCAAAACATAACGTGCATTAAATAATGAAAGTAACAATCCTGGACAGTGTCTTTGGTGAGGGGAAGACAAGCATGTCTCTCGTTGCTTAACATTTTCGCTATTGGTTAAGTCTCCCTGCTGGGAGAGACACTTATATAATTTTTGCTAAAGTACTTTTAAAAAAAATTCATTGCTGCTGCACGAGCAAGCATTCATTCCCTGCTGCGCAACTCACTTACCTTATAGACAAACGTGCACACAAAGTCAATGAAACCGACTTGAAGCTTTGGAAGCTCAGCAGCTTTTCTCCTGTCCATCATAGGCTGAAAGAGAACAGGATTTCTTTGGAGTTCCTTCTGTTTTTCTTTTAGAACTATTTCGCCTTGAAGGGTGTTGCAAATCAGCCTAACACTTCTGTATCATTCTCAAAAGCTTTCTTTTTCGGACCTCTTCCTTCTCCCACACAAACAATGAACTGATGGGGCTAGCTATTGTCATATTTTTTCTTTAACAAGCTACAGTCGCTCTTCTCCACTTCTGTTCCTGGATATTATTTTCTATTGTGCTACAGTCGCTCTTCTCCACTTCTGTTCCTGGATATTGTTTTCTATTGTGCCCCTCACCATAGTACCGGATTAAATGATCTTTGTATTCTCAATAAATGCTAAGGGGCTCCTAAAGTTCCTTAAATGAACGAAACAAACATTTCAGTTTTTTCGCTTTTTTTTTCTTTTTTCAAGCACATTCATTAGCAGAGCTAGATTTTGAGCTAGATTTTGGAACTTGTGACCTATAAGTTACTGAGCTCAGCTTTCATGTCTATTACAGGGGTCTTTTTCCCCGCCCCGAGGACCTCCCGTGTTGTCAAAGCGTCGAGCCCTGTTCATGAATTGCTGTCAGTGAAGAAGTCTGTTAGAAGGAAATGAACTGATTTGAGCTTTCAGCAGCTCATGTACTACTTACGATTGGCTGCTGCTGAAGTACACTTATTTCCAAGTCACCCTGTTCCCAGAATTCACCAGCGACTAGGAACGCTACCTATTTTGGAATAAGAGCTACAGTCAGTTTGGGGATTTTAATCTGAAACACTTCGTCTCCATTAACAGGAGCGTTGCAGTCCCTGGTCCTTTGCAATCATATCTGTCAAACACCAGACTACAGCCAAGTGATTCTCCTAGCAGGATGCATCTGATTCTCTACTCAATTTGTCTTCACTACGAGTAACTGCATGGCAAATCAGGGTGTCAATCGACAACATGCCAATTTGTCACACAGTAACGTCCCATGTGAAAAAAGAAAAGGAGTACTTGTGGCACCCTAGAGACTAACCAATTGATTTGAGCACGAGCTTTCGTGAGCTACAGCTCAGTTCATCGGATGCATTCAGTGGATACTGCAGCAGACTTTATATACACACAGAGATCATGAAACAATACCTCCTACCTCCACTGTCCTGCTGGTAATTGCTTATCTAAAGTGATCATCAAGTTGCGCCATTTCCAGCACAAATACAGGTTTTCTCACCCCCCCCACCCCCATACACACACAAACTCACTCTCCTGCTGGCAATAGCTCATCCAAACTGACCACTCTCCAAGTTTAACCAGAACGTCGGGGGGGGGGTAGGAAAAAACAAGGGCAAACAGGCTACCTTGCATAATGACTTAGCCACTCCCAGTCTCTATTTAAGCCTAAATTAATAGTATCCAATTTGCAAATGAATTCCAATTCAGCAGTTTCTCGCTGGAGTCTGGATTTGAAGTTTTTTTGTTTTAAGATAGCGACCTTCATGTCTGTGATTGCGTGACCAGAGAGATTGAAGTGTTCTCCGACTGGTTTATGAATGTTATAATTCTTGACATCTGATTTGTGTCCATTTATTCTTTTACGTAGAGACTGTCCAGTTTGACCAATGTACATGGCAGAGGGGCATTGCTGGCACATGATGGCATATATCACATTGGTGGATGTGCAGGTGAACGAGCCTCTGATAGTGTGGCTGATGTGATTAGGCCCTTTGATGGTGTCCCCTGAATAGATATGTGGGCACAATTCGCAACGGGCTTTGTTGCAAGGATAAGTTCCTGGGTTAGTGGTTCTGTTGTGTGGTATGTGGTTGCTGGTGAGTATTTGCTTCAGGTTGCGGGGCTGTCTGTAGGCAAAGACTGGCCTGTCTCCCAAGACTTGTGAGAGTGTTGGGTCATCCTTTAGACTTGTGAGATCCATTACAATCTACATACAACACAGATTATGCTGACAGCTTGTGCCACACGCTCTCAAAGAAACTTCGGAATCACCTGATCAAGATCCTCTACAGCAAACAGGGATAGATTAAGAATGAGCGCTCAAAAATGGATACTCTCATAAAAAACCAACCTTCCACACAAATTTCCTCGTGGCTGGATTTTACTAAAACTGGACAAGCCATTTACAAGGCACACTTTGCTTCTCTACAAAAGAAAAAGGACACTAAACTTTCTAAACTACTACATGCTACAAGAGGCCACAGCAATGGTTCCCTCAACCCACCTAGCAATATTGTTAACCTATCCAACTATACTCTCAGCCCAGCAGAAGCAGCTGTTCTATCTCGGGGCCTCTCCTTCTGCCCCTCCACCCCCACGAACATGATACAGTTCTGTGGTGACCTAGAATCCTATTTTCGACGTCTCCGACTCAAGGAATATTTCCAAAATACCTCTGAACAACATACTAATCCACAGAGGTCTCCCTACCAACACTACAATTCTAGATTGACTCCTCCTCAAGGAAACAGCAGACTGGACTTCTACATAGACTTCTACATAGAGTACAGAGTGCTTCCGCCGACGTGCACGGGCTGAAATTGTGGAAAAACAGCATCACTTGCCCCATAACCTCCACCATGCGGAACGCAATGCCATCCACAGCCTCAGAAACAACTCTGACATCATAATCAAAAACGCTGACAAAGGAGGTGCTGTTGTCATCATGAATAGGTCGGAATATGAACAAGAGGCTGCTCGGCAGCTCTCCAACACGAGTTTCTACAAGCCATTACCCTATGATCCCACTGAGAGTTACCAAAAGAAACTACAGCATTTGCTCAAAACTCCTAAAAAGCACAAGATCAAATCCGCACAGACACACCCCTGGAACCCCGACCTGGGATATTCTATCTACTACCCAAGATCCATAAACCTGGAAATCCTGGGCGCCCCATCATCTCAGGCATTGGCACCCTGACAGCAGGATTGTCTGGCTATGTAGACTCCCTCCTCGGGCCCTACGCTACCATGCACTCCCAGCTATCTTCGAGACACCACTGACTTCCTGAGGAAACTTCAGTCCATCGGTGATCTTCCTGATAACACCATCCTGGCCACTATGGATGTAGAAGCCCTCTACACCAACATTCCACACAAAGATGGACTACAAGCCGTCAAGAACACTATCCCCGATAATATCACGGCTAACCTGGTGGCTGAACTTTGTGACTTTGTCCTTAACGATAACTATTTTACATTTGGGGACAATGTATACCTTCAGATCAGCGGCACTGCTATGGGTACCCGCATGGCCCCACAGTATGCCAACATTTTTATGGCTGATTTAGAACAACGCTTCCTCAGCTCTCGTCCCCTAAAGCCCCTACTCTACTTGCGCTATATTGATGACATCTTCATCATCTGGACCCATAGAAAAGAAGCCGTTGAGGAATTCCATCATGATTTCAACAATTTCCATCCCACCATCAACCTCAGCCTGGTCCAGTCCACACAAGAGATCCACTTCCTGGACACTACAGTGCTAATAAACAATGGCCACATAAACACCACCCTATACCTACTGACCGCTATTCCTACCTACATGCCTCCAGCTTTCACCCCAACCACACCACACGATCCATTGTCTACAGCCAAACTCTGCGATACAACCGCATTTGCTCCAACCCCTCAGACAGAGACAAACACCTACAAGATCTCTATTAAGCTTTCTTACAAGTACAATACCCACCTGCAGAAGTGAAGAAACAGATGGATAGAGCCAGAAGAGTTCCCAGAAGTCACCTACTACAGGACAGGCCTAACAAAGAAAATAACAGAACGCCACTAGCCGTCACCTTCAGCCCCCAACTAAAACCCCTCCAACGCATTATTAAGGATCTACAACCTATCCTCAAGGGTGACCCAACACTCTCACAAATCTTGGGAGACAGGCCAGTCCTTGCCTACAGACAGCCTCGCAACCTGAAGCAAATACTCACCAACAACCACATACCACACAACAGAACCACTAACCCAGGAATCTATCCTTGCAACAAAGCCCGTTGCCAACTGTGCCCACATATCTATTCAGGGGACACCATCACAGGGCCTAACAACATCAGCCACACTATCAGAGGCTCGTTCACCTGCACATCTACCAATGTGATATATGCCATCATGTGCCAGCAATGCCCCTCTGCCATGTACATTGGTCAAACTGGACAGTCTCTACGTAAAAGAATAAATGGACACAAATCAGATGTCAAGAATTATAACATTCATAAACCAGTCGGAGAACACTTCAATCTCTCTGGTCACGCAATCACAGACATGAAGGTCGCTATCTTACAACAAAAAAACTTCAAATCCAGACTCCAGCGAGAAACTGCTGAATTGGAATTCATTTGCAAATTGGATACTATTAATTTAGGCTTAAATAGAGACTGGGAGTGGCTCGGTCATTATGCAAGGTAGCCTATTTGCCCTTGTTTTTTCCTACCCCCCCCCGCCCCGACGTTCTAGTTAAACTTGGATTTAAACTTGGAGAGTGGTCAGTTTGGATGGGCTATTACCAGCAGGAGAGTGAGTTTGTGTGTGTGGGGGGGGGGTGGAGAAAACTGGATTTTGCTGGCCAATTGCACTAGAATTACCAGCAGCAGGGGTGGGAGGAGGTTTTGTTTCATGATCTCTGTGTGTATATATATAGTCTGCTGCGGTATCCACGGTATGCATCCGATGAAGTGAGCTGTAGCTCACGAAAGGTCATGCTCAAATAAATTAGTTAGTCTCTAAGGTGCCACAAGTACTTCTTTTCTTTTTGCGAATACAGACTAACACAGCTGTTACTCTGAAACCTGTCCCATGTGAACTCTGCTATTGCTCTGTAGCAATTTCCCGTTTCGGATGTTGTTGCAAGGCACGCTGGAGTGCCTCAGATTTGCAGGCTTGCTTGCTGTGCAGACAAGCTATGATATGCATAATCAAACTCTGTGACTCTGGCAGCAAAATCTTCTGTCTACTGCTCCTTCACATCAGCCTATGAGCGTCCCCGATGCTCCTTAACAGGACTTGAAAATGAGGATTAGGGTGGAGAGACTCAAAGCATTAGTGGATTCTTTGTCACATTTCCAAAGACACAGTTGCCCTTTCCCAGTATTACCAATCTGAAGCTTTAACGACTCTTCCCTGCAACACCGAAAAAGTGAGGTTTTAAAATATAAATAGAGTTTTTCTTTTGGTTTTGTGCAGTTGGGATTTAAACTTTCTGTAACAATGAGGACTAAATGCTTTTTAAAGTGAAAGTTTCTTGAGATTCTGAGCCACGTGATTCCAGGAGTGCGGGCTTTAAGAAAAACCCTGAATGTTATGAGACTAACAATAAAGTCAGAGTTGCCAGTACTGTTTTCTCTAATGTCACTCTGTGATACTAGTCCTACCCCTGAGTGCGGTCTTTAGATTTCTTTATTTTTACTTTTACTTTACATTTATTTACATTATTCAATGTTATACAACACCATAAAAAGCTTCTATGAAAAGCTTGGGGGGAGGGATAGCTCAGTGGTTGGGGGGGAGGAATAGCTCAGTGGTTTGAGCATTGGCCTGCTAAACCCAGGGCTGTGAGTTCAATCCTTGAGGGGGCCATTTAGGGATCTGGGGCAAAAATTGGGGATTGGTCCTGGTTTGAGCAGGGGGTTGGACTAGATGACCTCCTGAGGTCCCTTCCAACCCTGATATTCTATGATTGAAATACTGGGAGGAAAGATGTGGTGTTTGTAAGCCCTGACGCCTCATCTCTTTCATCGTTGCTCATACAATAAGATCAAACTAAAAGCTCTCGTCTCGTCAAGCTAAAAATATCATTTCTACCAGCATTGTTTAAAACTTGGCCAGCAAAAGTAAAGAGAAGCCTCCTTCATGCAGGCTTCAGATAACAGACCGTTTCAATATATTGGAGTACATTGTGTATCAGGCGTCTGACCTTACTCTGCACTTCCCAGGGTTTAGCGATCGCAGATAAGTCACAGGCAGTCATCATCATAGCCCTGGAGACCAGAATGAGAACGGGAGTTAGTTTGTATTCTAACCACTCAGTCCTGTTTCCATTGGATCCAGGGTCTATTCTGCAATTTAAGAGTACTACACTTGCCACTTCTCTCCGCTGTCCGCCAGGCATTAAAGATGGAGGAGAACCAGCATAAGACATTTTGTAAACTAGGGCCAGGCAGTATTATCGTGAGTTAAACCTACTGTAACTGTGTTTCTTGCCTGCCACCAAAACAGTTTTGTGATTACTAATTTGCTAATTCTCACAAATCTTATGTAAACTTCCTAACAAAGATTTTGTAGCAGACTGCTTTGAGGTTTTATGTCTGTGTTTAATTATTCCAAGTACTACAGAACATATGCTTGACCACTATTAATTATTACTAGACACTGATCAAAATTTAATGAACACAAGAACGGCCATACTGGGTCAGACCAGTAGTCCAACTAATCCAGTATCCTGTCTGCTAACAGTGGTCTATGCTTCAGAGGGAATCAACAGAACAGGGCATTACTGAGTGGTCCACTCTCAACTTCTGACTGTCAGAAGCTCAGGGACACCCAGGAGATGGTGTTGCGTCCCTGACCATCTTGGCTAATAGCCATTGATGGAACTATCCTCCATGAACTTATCTAATTCTTTTTTGAATCCACGCTATATAATTTTAGCCTCCAGAGCATTTCCCTGGCAATGAGTTCCACAAGATGACTGTGTGTGGTGTGAAGTACTACTTCCTTTTTTTTTTGTTTTTTGTTTTTTTTTGTTTTCCTGCTGCCTGTTAATTTCATTGGTGACCCCCTAGTTCTTGTGTTATGTGAAACGGTAAATAACACTTCCTTTCTCCTCTTCACTCACGATTTCCTAGACCTCTGTCCGGTCTGCCCTTACTCATCTGTTTTCAAGACTGAATAGTCTCAGTCTTTTTAAAAAGACATGGAGGACTTGTGGCACCTAAAAAATTTGTTTGAGCATAAGCTTTCGTGAAGTACAGCTCACTTCATCGGATTCATCTGATATGTAGTGTCTGGCTCTGAAAAACGCGTCACGGACAGTGAAATCTGGTCTCTTTGTGTGCTTTTACCCAATACTAGAGAAATTTCATGGGGAAACCAACATTTCTCCAATTCGGAGTCCTGACCCAAAAGGGGTCGCAGGTGCGTCACAAGGTTATTTTAGGTGGTCACCCTTATTTCTGCGCTGACTTCAGAGCTGGGCGGCTGAAGAAGCAGCTATGGGTTGGGGGGTCCAGCTCTGAAGACAGAGCCAGGGGCAGCGCAGAAATAAGGGTAGCAGTACCCCAAACCCCTCCCACACAGAATAACCTTCAATTATAACACAGCAGAAATCATGAAATTTATTATTTTAAAAATCCTGTGACACGGAAATTGACGAAAATGGACCGTTAATTTGATAAGGCCCTTCTCATATGGAATCTGTTTTAATTCTCTTCCCTGTGACTCCCACACCACAAACCTCCTGACTCAGTTGACCGTTATTGGGCCTGGTCTTTGGCATCATCAGAGCTTCACACAGTATGACTCTTCCCCACCCTGTGTTGGGGGTGGACGGGGGGGGGGTCACTTCTATACAGGTGGTCAGCATTCAGGCCTCTGTGCTAGTCTAGCTGTCTGGTACTGTTAACCCCAAGGATTCAGAAATCATTTTAGCTTAAAAATCCTGATTTTTTTTTTAAAAGTAAAAGTTGTGTTCTTTCTATTTGCCTTCTAGTGTGAACCTTCAGGGTGTACTTGCTTCTTGTTTTCAACTTTTTCTCGCCAGTCATGAGGGTTGCTCTATGTTCCTGTGGTGTAGACACTAGCTACAGCAATGAAAGGGCAGAGCAGCTATTATTTGTAAGTTTAGGTGTATACCAGGCTTCAGATTCATATTGGATGGCACTCTGTTTTCCAAATCTTATCCTTGATTTCATCAATAGGGAGGCTTTGGCCTTCCTTAGAGTTTAAGCCAAAGCAGACTTCTTGCAACTTTTCATTAGTAGACTCTCTGGTTCTGCTTGGGGCTTGCAATAACATTAGCTTTTGTTATGGAATGGCTGCACCCTAAAACTCATCGGATTCTCTTAATCTTGAAAGTTGCCATAAAAACATGCAAACGTAATAAGCAATTTAAAAGAGAAAAGTGGATACTTGCAATTAGAATTTGAATATAAAGATTACTTGACACATATCTAGATGTGACTTCATCCTACTCATACACTTAAACAAAATTCTGCTATGTGTCCATATAATTCTTTAGTACAGAGGAAGATAAAAAGAGATTAATATCTTTTTCTGGCTTATTTTCAAGAATAACCCAGAATGCAAAGCATCTTTGGCTCCGAGAGGCCTTTAATACTAAAATGTTAGCGTAATATTCCTTATAGGAAATACCGCATGCTATGCAATCTATTCTTAATAGACACTTATTTAATAGAGGCATAGTTGTCACTTTACCATTTGCTTATCAAGAGATTTTTATTTACTCACATGACAATCTCTTTTCTTGTCGTTTCCAGAGACAAATATTCAGTCCAGGCATTTTCATTGTCATAGGTCTTGGACTCATCAACAATCTTCTGAAACATAGTTCTCTTTCTTCAAAACACCCAAAGAGGTAGGAATATGAAAGCATTAAATATGGAGTTATCAGACCTCATTTTGTTTTCCCATTGAACCATTGAGCAATCCCTCATTTCAACAATTTCTTATCTACGAGGAATGATCTCCTACATGCTGCTACCCTCCAATGGTGAGAGGCCAGTGAGTCTTTCCTTTAATTCCATTGAGCACTGGATAAGTCCTGTTTTCTACATTGCTCATTGTGCAGAAGCAGGAGTAGAGGGGGAGGATCTTAGTCGCAAGAGCATGACGAGTAGGGGTTGACAAACGACTACCCAACTGTGGGGAGGCGGAGGAGGAACGGAATAGGAGCTAGGGGAGTAGGTTTCTGGATTTCACCTCCCACTTTTCCATCACTAACTGCCAACTAGGCCCAGGCCATGTCCCTTGTAATGCCCATTAAGGGATATCACCCACTGTTGCAATGTCAGAGAGACAACATCAAACATGTCTCAGGATTGTGTGTATAAACTGATTGGCACAACTCTCTCGAGTTAATACCTTCAAACACCAATGTCTTTTTGGCTACGTTTCCCCAGCCAAGTGCCCACCACAACGATGTATTCTTATTTGAATTTTTAATTAGGATAGAGTATTTATTGTAAATAATTGTAAATCACTTAAATGTTGCAAAAATAGGTTTTCGTGAGGTTGACGCTTTGTAACTACAATTTGAAAAGTTGTGCTGTTGCAATTTCAGGTAAAATTTACACCGCTCTAAATTATGACTCACTTACTTGAAGTAAAGTGCCAAGTCCGTAGCTATGATCGCAATTTCCATCAAATGATTCACGTGCTCAAACTGTCTCCTGTTGAGATTCTGGTAGATATTTAGCGACTAAAGGGAAACAATGTTTAGTATGTGATTCTGGACATCCCGTGCATTGCTTATCCAGAATATGGGCTTTAATTCGTTGTTCAACATGTCCAGCTACAGTAATACCCAATACTGCGCTCAATGCAATCATGGAAAGAAACCTAATGATTTAAATGGGCATGGGATGGGGCCCAGTAGTCTGAAGTACTGACTCAGGATATTACTGGAGCCCCATTGTTTTCAATAGGAGTTTGCTCGAGGTAAAAGTTAAACTGAGTTCGTTACTATTTGGCCCATAGAGGGGGAAGGAAAGCCAGTCTATCGGTGTTGTGGGTTCCGAGTCCTCTTACTTAAGAAAGTTGTGAGCTTTGGGACAAAGTCTCCCCCTTATTCTGTTACAGAGGCCCTGTTAAAACTTGGGCAACTCACTCAACTTCTGCACCTCCATTTTCCCCTTTCTGTAGAATTGAAACAGCACAAGCCTATCTCATTAAAAAATGGTGAGGCAAACCAGTAAAGTGCCGTGAGAGCCTGGGGTGGCGTGTGTTGTGTAAGTGCAAAGTATTTTTATGTACAGACTGAACATATTAAATTGCAGAAATTGCTAGTATGTCTTTCACTGTTTCTAGCTAGAGGATTGAAAGTTCACGTTAGAGGGACTGTCTGCGGTACAGGGAAGTATTCAGAGGCTTCAGCTATTTGGAAGTGTCTGATAAACCATGGGAATTGAAGAGTCTCCTTTACAGGATTAGCGCTTCATGATTCCCATGTCGTCTGGTTTCAGTTCCATCACATGCATGGACAGTATTAAGGGAAAAGGCTCACAAGTATCTAGAGCAATCTCGGGCTGATTTGTTTCGCTTTTATATTGCCGTAGCACCTGAAGCCCCATTACGGTAGGGACAGTGAAACAGCTTTGACAGGAAAGCAGCTGAACTTTTTAGTTCTGCATGGTTTCACCACGAAGCCAAGAGAAACTCTGCCATTTTAACCGAATCTCACTTTGACTTTGAAGTTGGGTCATATGTAAAACTCTAACTGACCTGGTGGAATAAATTCAAGTCCTCAGAGGTCTGAACCCAAGAAAAATGTTGGGGCAATCCCCTGCAAAGTGAAACTGCACAGGGTTGAATAATTAAAATTCAACTGAAAGCAAATAAAACGCCTCTATAAAAATGTGCATTACAAACCTCTTCTGAAAGCAAGAACTTTCCAAATTCCAAGTGATGTCGCTCTAAAATTGATGAACCATGAAGTTTTGCTAACGGATGTTGAGATCTAATTGTGTAAATAAAAAATTCAAAAGTTAATGCAAGGCTAATGAGTTTTACAATGTGTCTTATTTTAATATTTCGGTTTTTACGGTTTAGATCTAGGTTTAACTAGTGGATAAAGGGTTAACTGAGAACATTTTAACTAACTGGCTTATCAATTGATCAAAAGATTCTTATGGCTTTTTAATGAGCTGTAACACTCGTCACTGCAATACTTGTGAACCATCTAAACACGTACTCATGTATAATTGGCCCTCATTTATAAACGTGAACAAGTTTATTCTACTTTACAAACTCAAGATATTTTATTGATTTAAAACAACAGCAAAAGCAGTAGTCGTTGCACACTTTCCTAGATTTTATCCCAGTGCAAAGCCAGGGGTCGAATCCCTGACCGTCAAATCTTTGCACAACGCTAAATCCTGTACAGGAAGTGGGTGTGAGCGAGTCCCACCACTTCATGAGAGCACTAGGGTGATAAACCCAGCAAGCACCATGCGGGTGCATTACTCGTCCAGCCACTGCAATAGTGAGGTTGTGTGATGCTCTTGGCTGTGTGCTTTCCCTTAGACTATACCCATGAGCAGACTGTCTGATGTAATAGCAAAGAGTAACTATCCATGGTACACTGATCCAACTTGCTGCTTAGAAACCCAGCGGGTTCGTTCTGACCAGGTCACTCCTGGCTCCCACTTTGGAGCACAAGCTTTCGGGGGTCATGCGTAGCATTTGGCCTCCACCTCTAGTATCGCTCTAACTTAATGTCCCATCTTAAAAAACGAACTGCTGTTTTGGCCAAACACCAATTGCCCGCGCTATAGAAATTCTGCTTCCGTAGCACTGAGATAGAGTGAGTCTACCGTCCTAATAGGAAAACCAAGAGCAGGAGTGGCCTGCCGAAGCGAGGGAGTTGTTCCAAGGTTAGACAGTAGGAAGAGGCTAGAAGTGGTGTGAATTCAGTTCGATCCCACTCCACGACTATATGCACACAATGAATGGAAACTTTTAAAGCAATAGAAAAGTGCCTACTTCATTTGATAAAGGTTGTTGGTGCCCCTGTGATCAATATCATGACACAAAGCTGCAGTTACCATAGCAAGGGCTTCAAGGTCTGTGTAGTAACGCTTCAGTTTGCCAGTCTACGGGGAGAGAATCACAAGCTTTCATTAGTCTTTCTGATAGACACTAAGTCAGAGTGAGTCTGCTAGGTGAGTAGGAGTCTATTACGCTAAACACAATTAAAGAACTAAGCGTGGAATTTGTGAAGCTAGATACAAGACACACTGCAGTGTAAGCTCTTGGGGGTTGAGAGAACATGGCCCATTTAAATATTTTTAGTCTTGGGGGGGCCCTGGACAAAAAGTGAAGGAAACAGAGCCTGCCTGAATCCTGGGAAGGAGAGGGCGGCCGAAAGTGGACACCCCAGGACAGGAACCAGGAGGAACACTATGCGGGGAGGAATCGCCCAAGAAGGACAGGCCGGAACTGGACCCAGTGTCACTTCTCCTCAGAGACGCATGGGTCTGTGAGTCCTGGGGCTTGTAACGCTGCTTGGGAATAAGGATGGAGGCGGCTAGTTAGTTAAGTGGGGAGCTTGTTGCTCGGTGTAGCTTTGCAGGGAGCGGCAGAAGAAGGCCCCGGAGGGGGTTCTTGGGGAAAGTATACTGGCGCTTAAGAGGACCAGAAGCACCCAAGACTTTTCTTTGCTCAGGAGGTCTGATCGCTGCGTGGAGACATATTGCTCGGTTTCTACCCTTTCAGACTGTGCTACCACTAGTTTGGATGTAACCCCGTTCTACTGCTCCCCCTTGTTGTTTTTCTCCTCTCATCCCTCCGTAAACTAATATCTCCCTTAATTATCTGCATTGTACTTTTCCTCTTTGGTGTGTGTGTTCACTTTGCGGATTAGGACCAGGTGCTCCTGGGGTGGAGGGACTATTTCCCGCTGCATTCCTGCTCGCGCCGTCTCTTGGGCAGAGTTGCCTGCAGGGCAGACTCCATCTTGGCCACGAGGGCGTTAAACTTACACTAGAGTTAGCACAAGAATTGCAGAAAGGAAAGGGGAAAAACATTTCAAGATCAGCGCATGTTTGTATCTTAGTTATATATAGAAGATATCTTTATGTGTCGGTGTTACTTATCACCGTAGGATCTGAATGATATGTTGAGCGAAGCTAATATATCCACACCCATCCCCTCTCGAGATGGACTCAGAGGAGAAGCACCTCCCATGGGTGGGCTGAAACTGTCTAAGCACAGCTCTTTGTTGAACCTGGCATGGAGTCCCGTTGCCCCAGGGGAATTCACGGAGGCACCATGTCTAATTCCTTTTGCAGTTCCCTAGCACTTCAGAAAGTGAGCCGGTCCTGCTACATCAGAAAAGCATTCAGTGTGGCTAGTCTTGTTTTCTCCTCCATTTAAGACCACTCAAGTTGGACTGTTGTTGTTTATAAAATTCCTTGAAAGGGAAAGGTTCTGCGAGAACAGCTGTTCTTGGGTGTCTGCAGTCTGAGGCTCTGCTGTTAGACCTAAAGGACTATGTTCATCACCTAAAAATAATATCAGGGTCATAAGTTCATGTAGACCAGCCACTAGACGAGGTCCGAAATCCACTTGCCTTGTGTGAATATTTCCCCGGATTAATTTTTGTATAGTTTATGAACAAGACTTTTTCCCGAAAGGATATTCGCAGATACTTGTAAGGAAACTCATTAGATTCCTACTGACAACTTATGAATCGCTGTAAATAGAACTATGCTGTGGAGTTAAAAGGGAAAACATAATAGTTGTACATAAGATATACCATTAAAAGCGTGAACATAGTCTGTGCTACATTGAAGCCATGCCGCCAGTTGTGGTACGTAATCTTTCTGTAACCCTTGCTGACAGAATACATGAATCTTACAAGCACCTGTAGAAATAGAAGAACAGTGAACAGAATTCAGAGTAGTAGCCGTCATAGTCTGTATCAGCAACAACAGAGAGGAATCCCTGTGGCACCTTAGAGACTAATATTTATTTGAGTATAACCTTTCGTGGGCTAAAACGCACTTTATCAGATCCATGGAGTGGAAGATACAGGAGCAGGTATAATGAGAGTGTCCCATTTCAAAAAGTTGACAAGAAGCTTTGAGTAAACTAGGGGGAAATCGTCCTTCATGATTGGTACCCTTCTTTGTAGATCCTTGATGATGCCCTGGAAAGGTTCTAGTCTGGGCCTGTAGCTGATGGCTAGTGGCATTCTGTTACTTTTTCTGTTGGGGATGTCATATGGGTACCGTCTGACTCTGTCAATATGTTTGTTCACTGTTTCTTAATGCCACCCCTGAGATCCATTTTCTGTTATATTTTTCCTACCATTTCAATATTGTGATTAATAACCTAGAACCTTCTTTTGAAAGATGTGTATGGTTACATAGCAAGCTTGGAGTTACGGCTGACAAAAGCAATTGCGTGATATAGTGATTGTACTGTGATATACTTAGCAATAAACTTTTAAAATTTTATTTTCTCTCTATAGACCCAATATTTTATAACACCTTTGTTAAAAAAATGAAAGAATCCATTTATGATTGTTAGTAACGCTCTTTCCTGTTGAATTCCCACCTTACAGTAATGTTAAGAATTAGCTTTTTCAGACAAAGGACTAGATGCTACAGAAGGCCCCTGTAGTAGAGTAGCAAAGTAATATGTTACTTACAGACATGAGCCCTGTTTAGAATCAGTCTTTTCCCCTCTCGCTCTTTTCCCGGCTCTGTCACAAAGGTATGCGAGGTGAATGGTGCATGTGAGTAAGAAAAAGGCAGTGATTTTTTTTCTAGCTCAGAGCAAGTTAGTGCTGAAAACTTAGCAAATAGAGCTGTCGTTCTTGGCCCAAGTAGGAAGCCTACTTTTTACTATCAAGTTGTAATGTTAATAATAAAGATCAGATTAGTGATCCCTTCTTGTCTGATATCCTGTCTGACAGTGACTGGTAGCAGATGCTTCCAAGAAGAAGTTTCTTCCCAGCCTTATTTAGAGCTTGGCGAATACCCAGAATAAACATGTACATTGCTTCTAAACTCCAGCGGTGCTAATGGATGTTTACAAAGCAACCCTGCAAGTTTGTCTGAGCCTCATTAAGCACTAGTCTCGGCAAGGTTATCAGTACCACCTCTGTTCTATCAAGCCTCCACAGTTCTGACTGAAGTGAATGAGTGGGGAGAGTTGACGTGTTCTCAGACTTGTGTGCAGAGACTCTGTAAACCGTAGAGCGTACCATACAGTCACTGCCCTATTCTGGTTTTCGAAAAATCTCTGGGATTTAGCTGTTTGTTTTATTAAGGTAGAACGAAAACTATTAGTGATGACAACAACACTCATAGTTTCAGTTGGCACTCAGATTCTCCATTGCCTGACACATTTTGTAATCACTCCTCTCTGGGGCACCTGGCACTGGCCACTGTCACAAGACGGGATCCTGGGCTAGATGGACATTAGATCTGATCCAGTATGTTTCGTCTTATATTCACTTAACCTGAGTAAAATCAGAATCCAAATCAGAATCCTCCATTCTCTTAAAATAGTGGTTGCTGTTTGTCCAGGTGTAAATGACTACCGAAGTAAATAACTACCGAAAAAGGACAGTGGAGAATCTCCGGCGTTACTCTGAGTTTGCAGAGGTACCAAAGCCAGTTACCACTAGAGAGCAATAAACATCACATGCCAGGCTGTAATAGCATTTTGATGACACTACTGCTTCCAGTATTGACGCAGAGGAAGGTAATTCAAAAGATGCTCTTGGCTTTCAACTTCTTCCTTATAGCCAATTTACCCTTCCAATAGGCACCTTACCATCCCAATGGGACTTAACTAGTTTGGGAGTCCCCAGGCATCATTCAGTAACATCTCACCAGAAGTCGACACATACCTCTTGTGGAATCTGGAACTTTTTCACCACCCCAAGCTCGTAGTACATTTGAATTCCACACTTCACAAGCTCTAGTTCTGTACAATTGAAATCGGAGAAGTGGAACTCATAGATCTCGGACTGAATGGGGTCTGGCAGTTCTTCTTTCTGAAAAAGAAACAGATTGGCTTGCTTCCGTGCTGGGTGTGCCATTCCGCAAAAAAAAAAAAAAAAAACAAAAAAAAACCACCTAGGTCTTCTCCAAAAGGGCACCAAATTATTGCTTCTGCATTCTCTCAGATTACTCAAATATCAGCATTGCAGTGTACCTTTTAGGTAACAATAAAGGCAAAACTGTTTCTTCCAATAACAGTCCATTTTGTTTTCCCTGCAGGGATTTAGCAGAAGAGATCTTCCTCTCCAAGTGGATTTCGTATGGCAGAGTCAAAAGTAAAAAGAAAAGGAGTACTTGTGGCACCTTAGAGACTAACCAATTTATTTGAGCATGAGCTTTCAACAAGCTGGGCCATTTCCAGCACAAATCCAGGTTTTCTCACCCTCCGCCCCCCGCCCCCCACAAATTCACTCTCCTGCTGGTAATAGCCCATCCAAAGTGACCACTCTCTGTAAAATATGTATGAAAATCAAGGTGGGCCATTTCCAGCACAAATCCAGGTTTTCTCACCCCCCACCACGATACACACACAAACTCACTCTCCTGCTGGTAATAGCTCATCCAAAGTGACCACTCTCCCTACAATATGCATGATAATCAAGGTGGGCCATTTCCAGCACAAATCCAGGTTTTCTCACCCCCGCCCCACACAAACTTTCTGTTGGAAGATAACCAGATACTGTGCTGAGGGGGGGTCTCAATATAATAATTTGGTTAGCTTTCTCCATCTGCCAAACGCATTCTTATTTGCCTTTACTGTGAAATCAACGGTGCATGGGAACTCACCAGTAATACCGTTAATTCATCTTCTTCACATTCCATTGGTTCTTTCCCCAGCCTCTCTCTTGTTGGCTACAGAGATCACGCACATGTTAATTTTACTAGCCACTCCACAGTCATCTCTAAAGCTGCATGCGTTTTGGGCGGTAGTTAGTCCAACTTTCAAACACACATTATCCTCTGAATATTACTTAGATTTCTTATCTTAAGGGGCAGTTTTACTTATAAAGTGACTCTGAGTGCCGGGGGTGGGTTCCCAAGTGCAGTGCATCACTGTCATCTCAATAGAGAACTGGCTCCATTGTCAAGTGGAAAACCTATGTCCTCCAAACTCACTCTGGGGACTGATGCTCAACATGGGTTCTCTGTCTCAAGCCTCATCACAAGGAGTGGAGGTCCTGTAGGCCCAGCTAAACTCTCAGACTTTGGTTTCGGTGAAATCTGTGGAAACGGCCCTATGGCTAATGGAGTTGTGTAGTGAAGAATTGATTTGTCCCTCAAAACTGCTTATCCCTGATAAGGCCCAAGAAGGAAAGAACCCATTTTAACTCTCTGACCCTATTGTGAGTTTGTAAGGCTAGCATTGAAATATGTTCTTAATGCTAAGTACTGACCATTTGCTTTTCCTTAGCAAACGGCTTACAACGCTGCCAGACAATAGTGTAGCATGCTGAGCGACTGATTGGCCACAGGGCTGCTGGCCCTCAAACCCCAGAGGTGACGGCATAGCAATGATAAAGTGTACCTCTATGTCTGAAGCTTCTTTAAAATTAATTGCACAAGTTCTTCAGCAATGCCATTCTTTCAGATCCGCTTCAAGACACATATCAAGAACCATCTCTCTCTGTGCAGGCCTTAGGTAATGAAGCTCTGGAGGCTCCCAGGAAATATCTACATGGATCTGTACCTATTAAAGGTTGTATCACAGCTCTGCCAATGTTAGGGCTGGAGACAATTGAGCGGGGGGGGCATTATGTATGGAAGCTCACTCTGTGGTGAGGTGTGCCTTAGAAGTACACGTAGTAAAACACGCTTTGGAACAAAACATGCTAAATACTTTCAAGTTATTGAAGGCGGACTTCCTATTTAACCATGAAATATTTTTCTCTGATTATAAACTGAAAAGCAGTACCAAGATTCCCTGAATTTCATCCTTATCACACTTCACGTGGTACAACACCATGTCCTGAGCAATGTCCTTGCGATTGTCCAGCTTGTTCATCTTATCGTAAGTATCCGTATTGAGGACAGACCAGCCCAGGAACTGGGTCAAAGACTTAAAAAAGATAAGAAACAATGGAACAATCCTTAAGCACTTTAAAGTATGTCATTGATTGCCCTTTCTAGGGAAAATATCATCATACTTTAACACATCTTATTACCAAAAGATTTATTACCAAAAGCTTCCTCCCAGAGTTTACTGAAAAAGACAGCACACTCGCTTAGTGTATATGGCCCAAAATCTATAAATAGCTAGTAAGGTGGTTTTAATTTGCGACCGGAAACTGCCATACTACCATTAAATTCATTGGCATTCCAAGTTGCTCTTTGAGGAAGAGGAACCTTGCCACTTGCTGAGTAGTAACAAAGTTTCCTGTTCTTGCAAATTTTGAGTGAGAATGCTTGCTTGAGTGAGTAATGCCTTGGTAGCCTTTTTGACTAATCCTGCGAGTAATAATTACTTGTGAGTAAAGGTTTCAGGATCAAGCTTAAAACTTTAACGATAACAGTCATATTTTCTCTAGGGAGACATAAGAACTGCAAGACGAATCATTCAGCAGAGATACTGGGACACAGACTGACGACATAACAGGTTGTTAAACAAAGTTAGGTCTCGACTTTACTGGAAGTAACTTTACTGGACTTTACTGGAAGTATCTGTCTTGAGTTCCTTTTTGTTATGATTATCTAAAGAGTCAAAGGCCTCATCCTTTAAGGGAACAATTGTCCTGCTGGTTGGCTGGAAATACATCAACAGCCCTCAAAAGAAAGCGGTTTGTTTTGGCTTAAAACTCTTTGAAACTGTGCTGTGCTCCAAAAAACTGAGGCAGCTGCACAGGTGCTCTGCAGCTGCCCAAAGAGCCATTTACTGTCAGCATACACAGGTGAGATGTCTGTCCAGGCTGCACAATGTGTCTCACTGTAGAGGGCCAAGGAGTCAGGATTTGGCAATATTATGGCAATAAATTGATGGTGATATTACAAATGATTTTGCTAGTTCTGGATGCGTGCACAAGATCTAGCTATTCAAAATGCTTGTCAGGTGTTGTACAATTCCCTTCAGAAGTTGGGCATGTTACCACGAACTCTTCAATTGCCTAAAATCTCTATATGAAGCAATTTCTGAGACCTAGAGCTACTGGGTTACACTCCACAAACAAAGAAAATATATGGGGGGCGGTGCACAATATTGGAGACCACATGTACTACTAAGAATTACTGAGTCTTAAGCAGGGTTCCCATTTAACCTCTAAGCTTCTTTCGGAGCTGGTAACCACTTGTACCTCCATGAGAGTCTCATCCTGTTCATCAAATGGCTTCCCATCTTTTCTGTTGTAAAATGTGGCAACACCAACAATTTCTTCTTTTTTGTTTACTATTGGCATAGATAATACATTTTTGATGATCCAGCCTGAGTCATCTACAGGACCTTCCTTGAAGCAAGAGCAAGAAGAAAGACGTTAACTATATAAAATGTATTTTCTAAATGCTCCAGTGCTTTTCTTAAGTGAACTCAGTAATGCCAAAAGTTTCTACGTACAAAAAAGATAATGTAAATACAGCTGTGCCAAGTTTCACAGTACCTGAAATTTAAACATCTCATCTGCAGCGGCATTCATAATGTTGCAGATCTAGAAGATCATAAAAATATTTCGTTTTACAAAAAGGTTGCATAAAGTTCAATTCCCGCCTTTCAAAAACAGTCAATTTTAAAGGTAGTTAAAGGGGATAAATTAATCTGACTTTCGGAAATCTACAGTGAAGCCCTTGTAAAATACTTACAAAGCCACTTTCAGCGACATACGTTGGGAGTCCAGTAGCAAGTGCCCAGTGATCTGCTGTTGGGTTTCTGAATAAAACAAAAGATGGAGAATATATATATTTCCTGGAGATTTTTGTGGAGCTGGAACATATCTGATTAATCATGCAACATGCACTTTGACATCTAATCCTTAGTCAGACAGGTAGTCCTGTTGATTTCAAAGGATCTACTTGTGTGAGTTAAAATTCATAGGCTCAGAGTCTTATGGACAGATGAAGCAAGTGATGAGTTTGAAGATTCAGAGGTTTCAGTATTGCATGGAGTATTCCAGTCAGTTCCCAGTTTTTCATCTTGTCTGTAACGAAGTGTTACTAGGTAATGCTACTGGTTGTGTATTTAGTGGTTTAATTCTTCAATATTCAACAAGAAAGAAAGAAAGAAAGAAAGAAAGAAAGAAAGAAAGAAAGAAAGAAAGAAAGAAAGAAAGAAAGAAAGAAAGAAAGAAAGAAAGAAAGAAAGAAAGATGGGGCAGTGTGGAAAGAAGGGAAATGTAACAGTCCTTTAGTCTTGCAGACTTTGTGGAGGAGCTCACCATCAAAAGTAAACAGATACAAAGCAATAGATGACCCAGATGTAGTCAAGATTTCCAGCCCTAGCTTTTTTAAAAAATAGGCTAGATATCGTACTCGCTGTTGCACACTGGTGCTACTAGTACTGGTGTGCTCTGACTAAGGTGTAATTTTTCACAAGGAGAGGCAGCTATATTGACGAACTGAGAGCGCCTGGCCATGTCATATATGGGGGACTTTATGGAGGAAATCAGAGACCAAAGTGGAAGGAGGCACCCAAGGGCTGATAAGGGAGGCAGTATGGTACATGGGCAGGCATCGTAAACAGGAATTCCTGGGCCTGGACGTAGTGCACAGGAGGAAGAGTTGGCTTTTCCGCGAAGCCTAAGAGATGGGGGACAGAGATCCTACCAGAGAGTGAAAATGCAGGAGAAAGGACTTTTGAATGGGAGGATGGGAAAACTGGTGATGTAGAGCAGAAGCGGATAGAAATGGACTTGTATCTACAGAAGTGGTGACTTTACTTCTGAGTGGGTGCCTTCACAGTGATAATGGGGCCTGCTTGTTAAATTATATTATGAATTCCGGATAAATAGAGGCAACCAACCTTTTTAACCCTTATATGTTTTTAACCCTACAAGTCCATGTTCCATTGTTACTTCAGCTGTGACCCTGTGATGTTCAGATCTTATCAGGCTGTGTTACGGATAGTCAACGGAAATAGCACTAGACATGGTATTAGAGTTGCTTACTCACGGGATAACTTTAATATCTTCTTTTCCATGTAGGATATAATCAACGACTTTGTAAAAGACTATTTCCTACAAAGAAAAAAATCCTGGTTCAAGCTCGTGGTGAGAGTAAACAGGGGAAGGAGATTAGTAGGTCATTCACTTACTCTGCCATCTGGAGTCCGAGGTCCGGAATAAGGTGGAACTTCACCCATTAGAACTGGCCACAAGTCAAAAAAATCCTGTTTTAAAAAACACCCCAAAAGTTTTAGTTTTAATAAATATAAATAAGTGTATCTGTGTTAGGATATAGGAAAAGGTGGGGTTCTACTACCGCTATTATAATTTGCCTCTGCGATGCTCTCTAAATTAAACCATAATTTACTTTAAAAACATTTATGTTGCCAATTCAAGCACTCAAATTTTAGGAAAATGCCAGAGATAGGGTAATTTGGGAGGCCTTAAATCTGGCCCCTTTGTACATGTGCATAAGACAGCATTTGATTAAACGGGCTCATTTCCACAGGACCTCGTTTCAATCAGTGCACAGGATGGATGGTGCTCTCACTGAATGGACAATTACTCAAACATATTGTTTTCTTCTTGTTGTTCAGTGTATGTTGCCAGACCTCATGTGCAGAACACTACTCAAACCCTGTTCTGAGGGCAGAATTATTAATTTCCTGCCAAGGTTTTCTGTGCTTTTCCTCAAGATAGTAGCTGAAGCTTCACTTAGAGCAATGCCTTATTTTCACACTATATTATCCACACCGTAGAGATGAGGAACTGAGGCACAGAGATTAAAGTAATTTGGGTGCCCAACTGAAGATACCTAAAGTCTGATTTTTTTCAAAGTACTTCGCACCATGGAGCACTTCATGAATTCACGGCTGAGCTCCCGTTGGCTGCAGTTGCAGACTGTGATCAGCACTTCATCAAATCTGACACAAGGGCCTCAAGTCAAACACTCATAAAATGCGAAACACGGAAATAGTGACCATCTGTGAAAAGGCTAATGCAAGTGAGTTGTCCAACATCGCACAGGAATTCTGCAGCTGAGGCAGGAAAAGAATTATATTTCCTAGATACGTGTTCAGATGAATAGCCATCTTTTGTCTTCCTGCAATCCCCTGCCTTTTTCAAACTCTTCCAAACTTCCAAACTCTGCAACCTTCCAAACTCTGCAACCAGACAGGCAGAGAGCAGCTTCCTTCCCCACTCAATCCTGTACATTTAATGAGGCAAAGGTATCCTCAGGCATTCAGACCAGGGAACTGAACTGAAGGTGCACGAGCAACCTTCATTCTGGCACTTTCTTTGGAATGCTTGACTTGGTAACCTTGCTGGCATTTCAATCTACTTCGTATAATTGCCTAGTTTTTAAAAGGTAAAATGAAAAAAACAAACTTCATAAAGTGGCATTACGTTAATTTGGAATCACTTCGGAGCCAAGCCTAGACTTATACATCCACCGAACAAATCCCTATCGCATTTGCATTATACTTTCCATTTAGATAATCATGATCCAGAACTGATTTGTATTGTCACTGTGTCACCAAATGCACCCCCGTATTCACACCGCGCCCACTCATTATAATCTTTGTCCAAAATGTCCTAGTAAGGTTTTTCAAAATTAATAATGTGCTGGGCAATAATATCGTGGTACAATATATGTAAAGTTATGAATTTCCACCCAAATTACATCGGTGGCGCATGTTCAAATCTAAGTAGTGCCAATTAAGCAGAATTGGTCTAGCAGATCTTTGGGCCATCAGCTATAAAGTGGCCTCTTGACAAGAAAAAAAACAGACCTGCAGACAGGATCTTAGCTGGACAGTGCTAAAGAGAGGTTTTTTTGGAGAAAATCCAGGACAGGGAGTGAGTTGGGTCACCCTGCAAGTGAGAACCAAGTGTGGTGGAAGCCAAAGCTGGATGGCGTTTGCTGACAGTCTGCTGGGGTCAGAGCGTCAGTACCAGGGCTCTGGCTACACACAGACACTCAGGATGTGACCATCATGATGAGAGGCAACCCAGTTGGAAACTACAACAGTAACCCATTGTGAGGCGCCCCAGGTTGCAGGGCAGGAGTAATACTGCGCCGCACTGGTCTGGATTGCACTCTGAAATTTCATAGGCTACGAAGCCAAAAAATAATGCCAGAAATTGCCAAATTCACCTTTAGGAGAAATCTAAAGCCCCTTGCTGTGTTATCTGGCCCTACATATGAATCCTCACCTTCTGTTTGGTCCTATCCAGAAGGCCCACTGAATATCTATCACAGTTCAAATATGCTCTCACTGTATAAAAAGCTTTGTGGAACTGCCTCTCGATATCCGTCAGCTCCTCAAATACCTTATTCGCTGACCACAACAGCACCTGAAGAATAGAATCAATTCTGTAGATCGTTCCTCCCGGAAAGCTAACTATACTTGAGACAATACGTGAATAATACTTAGCATTCTAGAAATGCAACAGTACAGTATTTTAAAGTTTTCTAACTACGTGTTTCAGCTTGAATAGCGGGGTGAGACATTTTCATTGACCTTATTGGGAGCAGAGTTCAAAGAACATTCAGCATTTTGTAAAATCCACTTTCGAGCTCTTTAATGCAAAACTGAATACTCCGAAATTAAGGAAATTACCTACTGTTTTAAAATTCATTAGCAGTGGCAATTGTCTGTTCTGTTAGTAACTTGAAGTAAAATATTGCATCGCAGAAATTATATATTAAACTAGTATTAATGTTGGAAAGGTCCCAATTAAATTAGGAATGATAGAATTAACGTTGCCTGCACATCCTTAATTTGGCATGTGCACTAGAAGACAAAATTAGGTTTGTACAGGAAATGTTAATTCTAGCATTTTCAAACGTTTGAGTTGAAGCCTTCGCAATCTTAAAGTTATTTTAAAGTAGGAAACTGAATCCCAAAAATAACTCTTCCTCAAAAACCAAAGCCCAAGTTCCATCAGGTGGAACCATACTGATCCCAAACTTGGATATGCATACTGAGTCATAACACAACCTTCTACGACATTACTAAGCTAACTAGTAACAGCAGTAACCTGTCTTTCTTTCCTCTGTTAACCGCCAAAAAGGGTGGAGGGGAAGGGGAATGACTCACCCACTCCTGAGAAGGGAATGACTGTCAAAAATAGCGCAGCTATTTGCTGACAGTAGATACTAATTACTCCTGAGTTCAGTTGCACGTTTTGAAATATACTATTACCAGGATATATTCCTTCTTACCCTCTGTAGTCTTGCTCCCCTGCTCCTATCAACCCCAACTGCTATAGTTAAAACTCCAATATTAATACGTATTAGTTAATCGTTCACTGTATAAAAGCAAAAAAATTCAGTTTCTTAGTAATTATGTATAATTAACATTTTTGTTTAACGGAATTAAAGAGCAAGTAATGTGAATGCTAAATAATCTTATCAATAAAAATTACTAATAGAATACCCAAACAGTTTTACCACTCAGAAAAACGAATCCCTAATCCTGCCCTCAGCTGACCTATGTGAGTGCCCATGCCGAGCCTAGTGAAACTGGTTGATGGCAGAAGAGAAATACCTGTGAACCTAGACAAGAGTTACTGGGATTGGCCTTTTTAATCTTACCTGGCCTCGTCGAGTCTCACAATTGTGAAGATAACTCAAATGATAAATTTTCAGATTTAAGGAGGCAAAATTCAGATACTTCAGGAAAAGCTGAAATGGAAAACAATCAGTGTTGAGTTTAATAAGTGACCCTGTTAAATCACTGGTTGACTACCTCTACAACGAGGTTAGTCTGTCACTCAAACGCACACCAACCAACCCGTGTCTATGCTTTGCTTTGTGCTTTTGTAAGGAGAGCCTTGTTACAAGTGTGATTGCTCCTGGTACTTTATTGATGTAAGCCGCACCAATGTAAGGCTATTTTACCACACAGACACTGTGGTCTACAGCAGATGTTGTCAAACTTGTTTCATTTGCAGACTCCAAACAACTTTTGAATAGATTTGTACCCGTTTACACATTCTACTGGTTGTCTGCGGATCCCTACTATATAAGCTTTAGACTTAAAAGTTTTATCGTAGCAGCCGTGTTAGTCTGTATCCGCGAAAAGAAAAGGAGTACTTGTGGCACCTTAGAGACTAACAAGTTTGTTAGAGCGTAAACTTTCGTGACCTACAGATGACTTCATAGGATGAATTCAGTGGAAAATATAGTGGGGAGATTTTATATACACAGAGACCATGAAACAATGGGTTTACCATACAGACTGAAACAAGAGTGATCAAGAAAGGTGAGCTATTACCAGCAGGAGAGTGGAATGGGGTGGGGGAAACCTTTTTTCTAGCACTTGACAAGAACAGTAGAAGGGAAAATAAACAAGGGGAAATAGTTTTAATTGCAACAAAGCCCGTTGCCAACTGTGTCCACATATCTGTTCAGGGGACACCATCATAGGGCCTAATCACATCAGCCACACTATCAGAGGCTCGTCCACCTGCACATCTATCAATGTGATATATACCATCTTGTGCCAGCAATGCCCCTCTGCCATGTACATTGGCGAAACTGGACAGTCTCTACGTAAAAGAATAAATGGTCACAAATCAGACATCAAAAAAAGTCGGAGAAGACCTCAATCTCTTTGTTCACTCGATTACAGATCCAAAGGTGGCAATTCTTCAACAAAAAAAACTTCATAAACAGACTCCAACGAGAGACTGCTGAATTGGAATTAATTTGTAAACTAGATACAATTAACTTAGGCTTGAATAAAGACTGAGCGTGGATGTTTCATTACACAAACTATTTCCCCTTGTTTATTTCGCCCCCTAGTGTACTTGTAAAGTGCTGACCCACCTTGATTATCACTACAAAAGTTCCCCCCCCCCCCCCAGCTCTCCTGCTGGTAATACCTCACCTTTCTTGATCACTCTTGTTGAGGTCTGTATGGTAACACCCACTGTTTCATGTTCTCTGTTAGACGGAATAGTGACTGAAGTGAATTCAATTGTAAATGTTGCACATGCTTGGCACAGCACTTACCAAAGTGTGAGAAAGCGCGCTAAAAAGGGGCTTCTGACGTAACGATAACACTTATAGCTTTAGACCTGTAGGTGAGGTATTTATATGGTTGTTTAAATCGGAAATACAGAATGCCTTTTCTGAGATCTGAAATTTTATTTTCACTGTCATATTTCATAGACCCCCCCTAAACATAAACTGTTGAAAAGAACCACTGGTCTACAGTAAGGGAATTGGCAGGAGTGTAGGTATGCTCTTGCGAACAAACAGTCTAGCTGATCCCATATATCATAGAAATAGACGTTCTCTGGCTCTTTTGGACACTTACACTTTCATCAGAGCTGGTGAAGAACGTGCCATGTATCTTATTAATGGCCATGATCACAGCAACGAGATCTTTGCCATTCGTAATGGGAGTTGCAAGTATGTTCCTTGTAGTGTATTCGGTGAGTTCATCAACAAATCTGCTGAACTGAGTGCACTGTTTAAAAGAGGGAAAAATGAAAAACGAAATACAATCCAAAATGTAAGTAGTCTTTTAGCCAGAGCTCCAGTCTCTGAGATCTGCCTGATCTAAGTTCAGGAGGGCATCAAGCCGATCTCTGGTATCAAAAAGCGCGTAAAATACTTATCTAAACAAATTTTTTGAGTCCTCACCTCCTTTCTTATGCTACCAAGTAGCTATGGTATATCTACCTGTGCTTCTACTTCCTTTGGCTTACCGGTGTCTCTCTCCCACCCTGATAGATGCCATGCACTATAGCTGGACAGAAAGCAGGAGCCTTGAAGCCCAGATTGTTTCAATAAGCTGCAGTCTGCATTGTAAGCAGCAGTGATCTACACAAACAATGCTCTTCACCCTCCATAAGCAGGATCTACCATGAGGGCAGACACTGGGTACGAAGAGTGAAAATAGTCAAAGTGACAGGTTTCAGAGTGGTAGCCATGTTAGTCTGTAACGGCAAAAACAATGAGGAGTCCTTGTGGCATATTAGAAACTAAAATATGATTAAGTGGCTTTTAGCCAAGAAAGGTTATGCCAAAATAAATTTGTTAGTCCCTAAGGTGCCACAAGGACTCCTCCTTGTTTTTATTATTTCAGGTGAAACTTACCAGATATAGAGCTTTCCCAGAGGGCACCCTGCTCTGAAATGCGGAATAGAGTAATGGCAAATATAACTGTTAAAATATTACTTTCTTCTCATTTGCTCTTAGCGCAATGAATGATTATAAAACCAAGCCAGTACTTAACATGCTACTCTGTAAGACAGGTCTTACTCTGTAAGTAAGTTTGCTTAGGCATTTGGATACCAAGTGATGAGCTTTTGGCTGAATGAACAGACAGATGGCTGAATAGTTATGAAAGAAGTATATATGAACTAATCCTAGCTATCATATTTGGGTCACATGGATTTTAGATTATAACACAGATTATACACAGGATTCAGTTTAGATTCAGTTTCTTCAACTAGGGTATATAATGCTCACTTATAAATAAGGCTATCAAAATAAGAATAGTGAGATGTTTGGGCAAAGTTTATATGTCACGGATTCTGATGAGAATTCACTTATCACTGCTAAGGATTGCGCTATCCATTGGCTCACAAAACTACCTCTGAAAAGCAGTTGGCCTGCACTGGATGCTAGAAACCTGAGATAGAAAAAAATTCCTTGGTGGTAAAATATTCCTGGACTCATTCTAAGGGCTTGCACTTTCTTTTCAGTGCCTCAGGGTGCACTCAGTGCAGTGTTAGATTGTAGCAAGTGTTTCAGTCTCTCCGCTAAAATGACTTTTTTTAACCTAGATGAATTTTCCATTTTGAGCCAGTATATTACGTGATACAAGGCATTGGTCTCAGACCGCGCGGACTGACCATTCAATTATTAATTCATAACAGAGAACTATTTCACAGAATAAACTGGAAAGTTGTGGGTTTTTTTTAAAGTAATCATAACAACCATATCTTCCGTTTTCAGCCATATGGTTGGTATAGTCAATGAGACTTCTACACCTTTGATTTCTCTTACCCCTGTTCATCATTTCCTTAACTCTACAAACCCTGGTAGTTTTTATGAATCTTTCATTAAAGAAGCAAACCAATGGAAAACCAACCTCATTGACATCCTTTATGTTTATAGTTCTCTTCGTTTGAGCAACATGCCCCACGATGCCCATGTCCAAAGGATAGACAATTTCACAATCTGGAGACACCAAGCATTCCTCCAGCATGCTGTCTTTCTCAATATTGAAAAGCCTGGTAGCCAGCTCTGGTGTGCCGTTCCTTTGCCTGAACATAAAAAGGCTGCAGCGGTCTGCGTGGATGAGAGAGCTGATTCTTCTTAGAGTCTTGAAAACAACCTTCTCCATGTTAATGCTTTCCTGCATGTCTTGAATCAACTCAAAAAGTATCTCGCTCTCCTCTGATGTCTGAATGCTACTCAGTGGCTCTGGTCTCAGTTTCTTATCGAAATATTGCTTGGCAAAAGTAGGGTTACCATCGAGAAACTTCTCCACATCATCTTCCTTCAGACTCATGGTGAACCTCTTAGATTCCCAGATCTTGGGATATGTTATCCCAGGAATACGATCTTTCTGAGAAGTGTTCCTCCTTCCGGTGTGCTTCCCAAACAAAAAGCTCTAATGCTCTACGACGCTGCCCCTGGAATGGTCAGGGGTTGACAATACTTTTTAAGAGTGAATGTCATTAGAATAGTGTTGAAGGTGAATCCGTGGGAGGACAGGTCTTAAGCAAACAGATTAAATGACCCATACTAAAGCCACAAGAAAAAATTTCCCCTTTACCTTACATGCAAGCTGGGTTTTTTTTAGAATGTTTAAGAACACCCTCACTTTTTCTTAGATGATACAGATGTATTAATTTTACTGAAATGGTTATATTGGTTTTTCTCTTTCCGGTAGACCTCGCTAACAATGAAATAAGCGCTTTAGAGTCTAATTAAATATACACTGCTCAGGTCTAATCCCTAGCTAAAAAGATGCACATCTTATTATTCTTATGCTTGTAGAAGATCTCAGAGAAATACACTTCAGTGAACGTCAAATCTGTCAGTGAATCTGTTTAGGTGGCATAGAAAAGGCTTGGCATAAGATGTTTACAAGAGCCCCACATGTTTACTGCCACTCTACTGAGGCTCTAGATTAGTGATCCTAAAAACAAATGGCGGTTTGATTCTTATCAGATAAGAGCCTAGATGCCCTGGCAAATTGGATCCCAGCTACATCAGCCATTTTTCACTGAAAGTGAGTGGCAAATAGAGCCAATTCTCTTTGTAGGAAACAGATTGTCCTACTACTGGCTGAAACAGAAATGATTCCATGAAGAGCCTTTCTTGCTGTGCTCAGGCACTTACATATCTAGTCCTGGCCACAAACAACTTACATTCTCAAACGTTCACAAACAGTCCAGTCCACATTGGGCTTGTGGTCTCTAGCAAAGCAGTTTATCCAACATTCCCAATCCATGACAAATCAGTACTGGGTCCAGGTAAAATAAGCATCTTTGCAGATATTCCATGGGGGGCTGTGACCCAACTTTCTGGCCACCACAATTGTATATTTGTAGCTGCTTGGATGTGTGTGGGGGGGAATCACAAGCACCTTTAGGTCATGATAGCGCAGTGGGACTCCAGTAAAAGATTGAGGGTTCTGAGCATCAGTGAAAAAGATGACTTTAAGAGACAACAAACCTTTCCACCTCTTCATTGAAGTTTATGAAGGTTGCTACCCACATCTCAGATACGGAAAGAGGGACAACTACATGGCTGAGGTCAAGGCAAAAAAAAAAACAACCGCAGCGCGAGAAAAAAGGTCTTTATAGGGTATCAAGGACGCACATCTAATCTTCCTTTACAGCTACGCTGCAAAAGCTAAGCTATTTAGTGATCCCCTGAAATGCATTCATAGAACTGGTATTTCAACATGCTCTCTGCTTGTGTGACTCATTAAACAGTCAAACCTCTTGTTCAAAACTGTTCTCTGCTTGAAAGGCACTGAGACTGAGCCAGCCCCGAACTTATCCGCTTCTGTCTTCTGTGGCAGCTTGTTGTGGCGTTCATTAACACGTATCAAGATAAGATGTCTGGTCAAGGGCATTTAGCTGATGCAGGTGTGTGTGGAATTCCTTTGCCTCTGGCACTCTGTGTCTCCGACATAGTTTTAGTTCTTTAAATCCAACGTCAGCACCTGCGTGTGCACGGTTGCTTATCCATAACTGCACGCGCTGCTAAAAATACGATTTTCTAAAGCACGTTGAGGACAAGGAGCTATATACGTCATGCTGGAATAGCTCAGAGGAAGCAATTGAAATAGACCATGTACTAATACCATAATATAGTCCAGACATTCCTAACTTTGAGAACATGCTTCACAGTAACTCAAATGCCTCTGGATTTATTCTTGTAAGATGACTAATTCCTAAAGTTCCATGAACAGAAAAGCAACTAACCACAAAAATACATAAATAAGGCCTCAAGAAAGTAGAACATATATGGTCTGCCTTCAGATGTTGGCTGTGAGTGTTCTCTGTCTGCTGGTCCCACCTCTGCACAGATAATTAGAACAACAGACCTCGATTGAACGACCCAATGAGACCACAACAGCCGTCAGTAGCAAAGGTGCCCAGCCAGGTTTATTGCTGAGGCAGCACGGTCCTAGCTCTCTGGATCAATGTCAAAATTAAACTAGCACATGTACGCCCGTGACAAAGGATGCAGCTCAGTCAGTCCAGTCACTCCCCCCGCCAGGTCAGAGCTAGTCCCTCTGAGACTCCATTTTATATATCGATACATGCTGGTTCGATCAAAACATCTCTATCTATCACTCTGTCCTCCTGACCTTATCCTGAAGAGAAGCCACTGTTTCCCTGTTATCTCTGAGGAATGTTGATATCTTGATACCATCTTGATATCAATGTGTTCTGGTATCACCTTTCTGGAATGAGTCATGCGAGTATCCTAGGCCCAGCACTTCTCAGGAATGTGTGTTTTTACAATACCAGGCCTGTTCTTGCCAGGTTCTCTGAGCCTGCTCACAATTTGTCTCTTGCAAACTTTGTTTTATATTAACAGGGGCTATAGGAACACAACTTTAGTTCACACCTCAGGCCTCAAACCGGGTCTCTAATACAAGAGTTTATGTCTCAGGCTCTCGTTGCTACATGGCCCATACAACATTTTGAAGGCTCCGTTTGGTAAATACAGGGAATTTAATACTTTTATACCCCAGTACGCAGCACTGTTCATTCCAAGACTTAAAATGAGGTTTTTCCTAACGTAATCATTGCCTCCATTTCTGGAGGCCATTTTAAAAAAATACCGGAACGAAAGAACTTTCTGCATACAGTTAGACCACCTCCTTCCAAGAGCGGTGCTTGTGTGAATAAAACAATTTATACATAGCGTACCAGAAATAAATGGCAGTTGCCATGGCAATGTGCTCTCTTTTAATATCTCCATCAAGGCAGTATCTGACAATTGTTTTAATCTGTTCTCAGTAAACTGGAAGTCCTAAATTCTCCATTTTCTGACTATTAAAAATTTAATACTTTAACGCTATGGTTACAAGCCTTACAGAGATTTTGTCCAGCTAAATCTACGTGAATTGTGGTGCAATGCTTACTTATACATCAACCTCCTGAGTTTGGTTGCTTTTGTTGTAATGTGTATGTGTAAATGACAATATTGTTTAATTCCTGTACTCTAGAAAGGCCATAAGAATTGTGCAGGACATACTCTGGAGTGGGTGAGATACGCTGAGCTCTCATGTAGTGGACATTAGCTTGGTGGTGAAACTCAAGCTCCATAGCAGGCGAGGAGAAGGGCTCTGGTCTAAAGACCAAGAGTTCTTTCCCAAGGAAGAGGGACTGAAATAATCGTATTTTCCTGTGTGTTTTTTCCTTGGATTTTCTGTACCCTCTGCAGAGCAAGTGTGCAGGAGAGGACCTGACCAACGGCAGCAGAGCTGACTCTGCAGTAAACCCTGATTTGGGGAGATCTCTCTGGATTAGAGCAGACCAGCAGAGGAGCGACATCCCTTGACTATCATAGCTCCTGATGATATGTCTGCACTACTGTAAGACACGCCTGGCTGTCCCACAGCAGCTGACTCAGGCTCGCAGAGCTCAGGCTAAAGGACGGTTTAATTTTGGTGTAGATATTTGGCCTTGGGCGGCAGCCCAAGTACTGGGACCCTCCAACCTCACAGGGTCCTGAGACGACATATCTACACATTATTAAACAGATCCTAATCTCAAGCTCATGAGCCTGAGTCACCCACCATGGGCCAACCATGACTTTTTAGTTGCAGTGTAGACAGACCTTATATGAACCTGAGGGTGGAATCTGTGGTGGAGGCTGGAAGATCTTGATTAAAGTGATACACTGATTGGTGTTGGTCATTTTCTTATGTAAATATATATATATTATTCCTATATCTAGTATCATATATATGAAGGAATTTTATGTTTCTTTTGATTATTTTTTATTTCCCCAAATAAAGGGAATGGAGGGACCGGGATGGAAACCATCTGCAAAAATGACGGGAGACTTCATTTTATTTCCCAGAACAGAGTCAATAACAAAAAAAGTTGCTTTTTTAACTTTAAATTAAATATATTTTTTCTTTTTAATAAACCTGTTTAAAATTGATAACTTGTTAAGACGTAAATTTACTATAATCTTTTTTTTTTTGCTTCCTTTTCGTTTAAATCATTTTAAGCAGTACATGTTTGCTTCTGGATTGTTAAAGGAAATCAAACCACTGAACTGCTGCATATCATTGGTAAAACAGCATATACTAGAAATTGTTGAAGCACTTAACTAGGTATTTGACAACAGTAGCCTCTTCTGCAGGTGCAGAAGGAATATTTTCTTCATTTTAGTTCATTCAACTCGATCAGGTCAATGAGCAGCTCACTCAAAGTTAAGAAACTGCTTGACAGCTAAAAAAAAATCAGGAAATGTTGTTGTACTGTTCCTGAACTATGAGAGGATGCGATCCAACAGTCCCACAATCATGACCAGAAACTTTCAGTCACTAACTACAGATACTGTTTTTAAAGAACAAAATGCGAAGTATATTTTGATAACCTTTTTTTATGTACCCAGAACTTTTAAATTAGTTTTATTTAAGAAACAGAACCCTGTTTTGAGTATTTGTGTTCATTTCCAAGTTTCCAAACAAATAGAGCTTGACACAAATAAATATTTAATCTTCTCGCAAATATGAAATGTATCATTCATGATAATGTAAAAATTAAAACTATGAATATATGTAAATAAAGGTATATAATTGCTTTAATGTCTGTAGATATGCTATATCTGCCAGGTTAACAAAATTTACTGTGAAGGCTATATTTTGTTGCAAATCAATATATTAAATTTAGCTCATTAAAACGTAATTTAATTAAAATGTAACTGCGAGGGAACGCAGTAGTACAGATGAAAGGTTATGGGCTGTGGAACCATTTACTTCACTGCTTTAAGTCCAGAGCAGGGGAGATATGCTTGGAAGGGTTT